AGGCCCCATGGCTTTCGTCCATCATGCCCAGCTTCCAGCATTAAGCAGAGTTCAGGGTCCTCAGTGTCATCCAGAACCAGTAGGCTGTTCCCCAAGCTCTGGTCTCTGGGCTGCGAGTCGCCTGAGCCACCGTGTGACATGGTTCTGCGCCGCCCGTTCATCCTGGTGGGCGAGTCCAGCCCTGGCCATTCATTCCATGAAACTTAAAACTTGCCTTTCCTGTTTTAGATCCTCATTGAAATTCCTGCTGAGGATTTCCTGTGTCTTTAAAACAGGAGATGGAGGGCATGCTTACAGGGGTTGGGCAAAAAGGAGGGCAGAGGCAGGTGGCCGTGTGGCACTTTCTGTCTAGCACTGAGTCCGGGGTCCGCATGTGGGAAGTTGGGGCGGTGCCTGGGAGGAGCCAGCAGAGGGACCCCCTCTAACCTGAAAAAGACCTGGTTTGTTTTTGATGTTGGATGGACCAGTGCAGCATCCCAGAAAAACATTTTCTATCAGGAAAAGGAAAAGCAGACATCATCTTCAGACATAATAGGCATTTTCTTTTAGTAATAAAAGTAAGAAAAAGTGGTTCATGCAAAAGGAAGATCATGTGCAAATGTAGCCAGTATTTATGTCCCTGGCACATAGCAGGTGCTTCCTTAATATGCAGAGAGCAGAGGGAACATGGCTCTGTGGGGGGACCTCCTGGAGGGGACGTGGCAAGAAAGCTGGCTGGCTGCACTCTCGGCTCCCAGTTTGCCAAAACCCTGAAACCTGAGAGGTGCAGAGTGACACAGAGCAGACCATGGGTGGCCACACTCAGTGGTGGCTTCCGTCCTGCGCTTTCAGAGCCATGGGGGCCGCCTGGCGCAGCTCTTCTTTCCAACCGATGTGGTCGGTCCTTTCCGGAGAGCACGGGTCCCAGGGCGGGTCGCCACTGTGCCCCCTCCTGCGGAGCAAGCACTCCCCGTGGAGGCGCATCTACCGAGCCCACTGCACACTCACGTGCTGTGTTTCTTTTGGGTGCGGGCACACCCAGAGGCACACTTTCCTTTTCTTCCATGCCAATTTCGGTGTTGACTCTTTACCGAATTATCTCATCCCACCTGCACAGGGAGCTTGTGAGCAGGGTGCCGTTCAGCCTCCATGTCCCTGGCACACAGGCTGAGGTTCCAAGAGCCCAGGCACCATGGCCAAGGTCACCAGCTGCATTTGACAGGAGGGGAAGTGGGGAAGGAGACGCAGAGGGATGCAGGCCCATCTCAGGGCAACCGCAGAGGACTTCACGGGGTGGACATGCTGGCACATCTCCCCACCACACAGTTGGTGGGCTGGTTGGACCCTCTCCAGGGCTGTCAGGGCCCTCTCCTGTGCTGCTAAGAGCCTTTCCCCGTTCCCCAGAAGTGTGCAGGCAGGACAAGCCATGACAGCGGGGAGGGGCATGGCTGAGTGCCTCTCTAGGGTTCAGTCCTGGTGTGGGGGGCAAAAGCAAATGGCAGAAGGCAATTCCACGTGGCCAGTGACAATGTGCGTTGCAGGCTTCCCTTCCTCAGACTGTGGGTATCTGATTGTGTAAGCAGGGATGGGTGAAGGAGAGCTGTTCATAAGGCCATCGTATTTTAGGGCTGGAGGTCCCCTGATCTTCGGTAATTATTATGGCCATCCCACATCACTGTTTTGTGAAGTGGTAACCTAGGGAACATCCGTTAAAATATGAAACTGAAAGATTTCCAAATGGAGAGCTGCTGGAACCCAGGAGGCAGTTCCCCATGGGGGGCACCCTTGGGGTTCCCCTCAGGAAGAGTGCAGGGCTGCGTGGTGAGTGGCACAGCCAGTGGGCTTCCTGGGCCCAGTGGCCCAGCGTGCAGCGCTCCCTCACCCAGACAGCTGAGCGCAGCTCCCTTCGGTTGGACCGACCTGATGGCTCAGCATAGCTCCTTCCCGATTTAGTCAAGGGCACTCAGTCAGCTTCAAGCTTGGATGATCCCACTAAGAAGCTGGCAGGGGGCCAGAGGGGCAGATTCCTCCCCTGTGGCCGTGGCTCACACAGTGCTGCCATGCACGGTTTTGATTATTGCACATGTTCCTCCTGATGAGGGCAAGAGCATCTTGGTGGTGTTTCCTTGTATGCCCCCTCTGTGGCCCCCAGCATGTACATGCCTTGACATTAGCAAAGCAGTTTCAGGTCTAATGCCTCACTGCACCCTCACCGGGGCCTCTGCAGGGTAAACAGAGGAATTAGCACCTTCTTATGCATACGAGTCTGGGATCTAAGAGGGTTAGTGATTTCCCCTAGTGAGTACACGGCAGAGGCAGGACCTGAACACAGGGTTCTGCCTCCCACCTCAGACTGTACAACCCCAGGAATTAACTGGGAACGCGTTAAGGTAGAGTGTAAATGAGGTCTTAAAGTTCATCTAGGAAAATGGAGTTGGGAAGTTAGGGGCTGTAAATTGCAGAAAAACTCAGTAAGGATAGATTGCTTCAGCCTATATGCATCTCCATATCTTGTGGAAGGAGCCTGGGGGAGGGCAGCTGCAGTTTGATACAGCTGTGCAACAGTAGTGCCATCAAGGGACCCATACTAGATCCAGGGTGCTCTGTTTTCCTTGAGCCTTGCTCTCCCTTCTCAATCTTATAACCTCATGGTTGCAAAGTGGCTGCCACAGCTCCACAAGGCATCCCAAGTTGGAAAGAAGGCAGTGGGTATAGTATAGAAGTTTTCCTTTAATAAAAAAAAAAAAAAAAAAAATTATTGAAACTGCCCGGAAAACTACCCTCTGGCTGAGAATAAGTCACCTGACCAGCCTTGCTGCAAGACAGGCCACAACAGTATGTCCAGCAAAAGAGAATAGGATAGCTGTGGCTAGCTAAGATTGATCATGGCACAGGCTCTAGAAATGGTCATATCATCAACCTGAACCAAAACAGTCAACAAGAGAGGTACGGGGGAGGGGAATGGCTATTTTTATTATTATTATTTTTTTCCTGGCAATATCCAGTGTCAGGCCAGTCTGGGCTGAGAACTTGGTAGAAGTTCTCCTTCAGGTTGGTCTGTGCCATTGCTTTCTGAGATGACATTCCACTTTTGGACTAGAAGTCACACTCCCATTTTTCAGTGGCTGATTTTAGAGCTTCATAAATGTGTTGTTTTCCCCCATGCCTCATCAGAGGAGATCTAAGCTCTAAGGCCATTGAGCTATAATTTTTCAAATGCTTTTGTTTGACTGAGAACAAAGATTAAATAGGGAGAAAGCATCAGAGTGGTGGGTAACCCTGAGGCTTGGGAGAAGAGGAGAGATTGGGGGGCATTGAGGTCCTGCTCAATGGCCCTGAGGTCAGATGGCCTGGGTTTAGATCTGGATGGCACCCTGATGTACTTCCTCCCTCGTGACTTTGGGCAAGTCAGTCATCCTTGCTCTGCCTCAGTTTCCCCATGTAAAGTGCTTACCAAATGAGGTCAGGGTGTTGGAGGCAGTCTCACCTGGGTTTGGATGAAGTAAGTGCTCAGTACTGGGGAGCGGCTGGTATCAGCATCACCGCTCCTGCCAGCTTAGGAAACATGGATGCCAAACCTCTTGCACCTCTGTCGGTGCTGTGGCGGCTGCTGGGCAGCCCTCCTGCCTGGCCCTGCAGAGTCCAGAGCTGCGGTCCCAGCGCGTGTCCATCTCACTCGCTCCCCTGCTCCCAGCCCTCCCTGGTCCCCACTGCCCGCAGGCTCAGAGTCCAGACCCCTTAGCCAGACTTCACTCAAAAGCAGGGCCCGGGAGACATGGTTTTCTCATTTCCTCTGGAGCTCTGGGCTGGGCCTCTGGTCCCTGGAGGGGAAATGCCATGGCACTCTCATTGAACAAAGTGTTCTGTGTTGACTGCTGTGGGCCTAGCCCTGTGCTTGCCACAGGGGACGCACTGAGGAACCAGACACAGCCCTCATGATGTGGCCCTACCTCACGGTAAAGGATCCAGGCACCAGGCAGTTGGCATTTGGGTGCATACAGGACAGCAGTCTCCTTAGCACCAGGGGCTGCTTTCCAGAGGAGGAAGGGGTGAGCTGACCCCCAGGGTGGCTGGGGATCAGCAGGGAGATGCTGGAACCGGGGCTCCAGGTAGGGGTCGTGTTGTGCCAGGCTTGACGGAAATGATGGGACATCTTAGAGGACAGGCAGGGAGTTAGGGCTGGCTGGTGCTAAGCTTAGGGGAGGGCTAATGAGTGAAGATTCTGGAAAGGCCACAGGCCCTGGGCCCAGAGCCCTGCCAAGCCCTGGAGGGTCCATCTGTGGAGCAAAGTGGGTGTGACTGGGGTTGATCAGAGGCTGCATGACTAGCTCTGTGTTTTGGGAGAGCCAGGCTAGCTATGCTACAGGACATGGTGAGAGGGATGGAGATGAGCGCATTTAAGTTCCGCTTCCTAGCTATGAACTTTGGTCAAAAACAAAGGACATATCCTTGGGCATTCTGGATCAGAAGTGATGGGAAGGCCAGCATTGCCCTCTCTGGAAGGTGGTGGTGCTGTGCGCGAGCAGTGTGCCGACCCACACCCACGTGGCCTCCCGGGGTGGCTGGGGAACAGCAGTGCCTCTCCTTTTCTCCATCCTGTCCTTGCTCACCTGTGACCCACATGTGGCTCCACGAAGCCAAAGACAGGAGCTGGAGCTCCATCTGCCAGGTCTGGGAGGCTGCGTAGATCCTACCTGCACCATGTGCCGTCAGCCATGCCCCGGTAGCCCCTGGGTCTGGAGCCACCTCTGAAGGATTAGCAGGTAACTGTGTATTCTGCGAAGACCGCCATATACCAACATGTGCTCTACACGTTTCCTCCTCAAATAAGAAAAGAATGGTCTGTCTCTGGCCCTCAGCGCGGTGTTCAGTAGGACACCCACTGAGGAAGCCACCTTAGGGAATGAGTTGGGCCTGTGGTCCTGCTGCTGTTCTGTTTACGGGTGTATGTGTCCTTAAACACTGGGTAGCCTGCAAACGCGTAATCAGTATTTCCTCTTGGCTGTCTCTTCCATCTGCAGTACAATGAGGAGCTTCACTACGTGGAACCTTGCCTGAATGGAACGCTGGTGCAGGCCGACAGGACAAACAAGGAGGTAGGGCTGCCGCTGGGCAGGAACACCTGGGGCCCCCGCCCACCCCCGCCTTACAGTGATCACCTGCAGGAACTCTGTCCTGGTTCATAGAAACTCACCAAATGTCCTGCTCTTTCCCTGAGGGCTGTGGGACCCCAGTGTGTAAGCGTTCCTGCCTTCCTTTCTCTCTTGCTCTGTGCCCATCCTACCTATGCTTGGCACCTGTGTTGATGCCACTGACAGAATATGGTTCTTGCTGAGGTTCCAAAGAAAACAGAACCCCTTTGTTATATAGCTCTTATTGCACCTGATGCAATCAATTGAAAAATTACTGGGGTAGGTAGTCTCCCACACTGGAAGGTAAGTTTTGTTAGGACAGGGAAAATGTCTGCTAAATGCTGTATTCTTGATGTTCTGAGCATTGCCTGCTGCATAAATATTGTGGCACAAAAGGAAGATATATTAAAGAAGGGTGTGAAGAAATGGGACAGAAATTTCCCTTCCAGTTGGAACATTCTAGGAAAATTCCCAAAAAGGATTTCTGTAAAGCAAATCTGTTTCCCTTTGGCCGCCTTTAAATTTGTCAGTGTAGCCACCGTGCTACCACCCTGACAAGGCCAGGTGACAGTTCAGGTTGAAGGTGTAGTTGTGGCTACAACAGGGTCACACCTCCTGGGACCCCTGGCTGCCGTCACTCATGTCACTTTGCGGTACCTGCTGTGCAGGGCTGCTCCTCCCCTGGGTAGCAGCCCCCGCCAAGGTGGCTGAGGGCAATGGCCAAGGGTGTCCGTGAGGCCTATGCTGTGTCTGGGCTGGGAGAAGCCCTGGACGGGTGGGAGGCATGGCTTTGCTGTGGCTGTAGACACAGGTGGTAGAAGCACGTGGTTGGGCATGTCTGAGAAGTGGACAGTAGAAGATTGGGAGAAGGGCATCCTAGGTGGAACACAGGGTGAGACGGAATAATTAGAGCAGCGTTAATATCCAACCTTCAATGTGAGGGGGAAGAAACACCATAATAAGCTCTGTGTTTTGAGGGAGAAACAAGGACATGGTAGTTCAGAGAAAAAGCATATTTGGGGAATGTTTCTTCATGGTCATTTTTTAGGCTAAGAGAGGAAAGAATGATATAAACGTACAGCTAAATTTCTCCAGCAAACTTCCCCTTGTTTGGCCATTGCCTGGGTCTGAATTCCATGCCCTTCTCAATATTGTAGCATTGAAATATCTTCCAGAGCCTCAAACGGGTGTCCAGTGATGGTGGGTGCAGCATTAAATAGAAAAGATGCTTTCAGGGCTCAGGGCCTTCCTTCAGGTGTCCTCCCAGATGGATAAGGGGCGGTGTGATACTTGGAGATACAAAGTTTTATGAATGGGACACTTGTTAGAGAAAGTGGGCTAAGGATTTGTTTAAAATCGCCTCTGAATTTGTGGGTATTGAAGAGCTGGAGTAACTTTGAGTATGAAAATGAGTCTCTAGACCTCTGATTCTGCCACTACAGAGTGGTCACATTCCAATCAGATCTTCCCCTTATAACTGAAAAGCCCTGGGCATAACCCGACAAGTACAGGAAAATGCTGCAAGGTGGAAAGAAGATGAATTACCTAGACTTAAGGATGTGGAGGTGAATTTCTTAGGTTTCCTTACAGATTCCCCTATGTCCTGAATAGAGTATTCTAGAAGCTTCCCACCTGGACCAACAACAGGCACAGACCAGCCCCCTAAGGAAAAGTTCCAATGAAAACCTCTATCCACACCACCAGGAAGGGGCAACCTAATAGCAGAAAACCTTTGTGACAATACCTGTCATACTCCAGCCAAACACCAAGGGAACAACCACAGACCTATGTTTCAGTGGAGCTGGGCGGGAAGGTGAATGTCTACTCCAGGCACACCTACTTGGTCTTTGTGTAGACAGACTGACAGTTAAGACAAAAAGATCATATAGGATTCAGAGTCTCATATGATCCAAAGTGCACAGAATGCAATAAAAATTCCTTGTCACCCTCACAAGCCAGGAAAATCACAATGTGAATGAGAAAAGACAATCGACAGAAGCCAATACTGACATGAATCAGATGTTGAAATTATAAAATTGCTTCAACAAGTGATTACCAGTTCTCTTGAAACAAAGAAGAAATAGAAAATCTCAGCGAGGAAATTGGAGTTATAAATGGAAGAGCCAAATGGAAGTTATAGAACTTTAAAACACAGTCACCAAAATAAAAGGCTGCTTGGATCAGCTCCCTAGTATAGTGGAGATGATGACAGAATCAGTGAATTTCTGGACAGATCAATAGAAATTGGGTAATTTCTATTGATATGTCCGCATAGGGATATGCAGGACAATAACAAAAGAGCTAACATTCATATTATGAGTCCAGGAGAGGAGAGAGAGGTACTGGACAGCTATTTGAAGATACGTTGTCTGAAAACTTCCCCACATTAATGAAAGGCTGAGCATACATATTCAAGAGGCTGGGCAATTCCAAATAGGATAAACCTAACGAAATCCATAGCAGGATACATCATAATTGAAATAATTAGACAAGGAAAAAAACCTTGATAGCACCAGAGAAAAAGGACTCACTACTTAGATGACTAATTTGAATGACAGCAGATTTCCTGTATGAAATCATGGACACCAGAAGGAAGTGGCACAGCCTTTTTCAAGTACTGAGAGAAAAGGAATGTCAATCCAGGATTCTATATTCAATGAAAATGTCCTACATGAGTGAAGGGGAAATAAGGACATTCTCAAGTCAAAAAAACTACAAGAACTTGTTGCCAGCAAGCTTACCCTTAAAGAATGGCTGGAGAGATTCTCTAAACATGAAGTAGCAGAAAGAGGTCTGAAACTTCAGAAAGGAAACTAGTGGAATGAATAAAAAATAGAAGTAAGTGTAACAGAGTATCCTAATTTTAAGAGATCATTACATTTCAATGAATTTGAATACAAATATGCCCAACCAATTTTTGACAAAGGTACAAAAGCAATTCAATGGAGGAAGGAGATACAGCCTTTTTAATAAATGGTGCTGGGGCAATTGAACATCCATGAGCAAAAACAGAAAAAAGAAAAAAAAAACTTAACCTTGATGCAAACCTCATAACTTAACATTTAACTCACATGGATCAAAATCTTAAATGTAAAATGTGCAGCTATGACACCCTCTGAAGAAAAAAAAGTAGGAGAAAATCTTCAGACTCAGGGGCTAGAGAAAGCATTCTTAGGCTTGACACCAAAGGTACACTCCATAAAAGAAAAATTTGATAAAATGGATCTCATTACAATTAGGAAAAAAAAAAACTTTTGCTATGTGAAAGACCCTGAAGATAAGTGCATTTCCCAAGCTGGAGACTGGGAAAAGATAGTTGCACACCATATATATAAAGAATGAGAATATGGAAAATATATAAATACAAAAATAACAAAACTCAACAGTAAAAATGAATAACCCAATTAGAAAATGGGCAGAAGACAAGAGACATTTTTACCAGAGGATATACAGTTGGCAAGTTAAGTACCTGAAAAGATATTCAACTTTGTTAACAAGGGAAATGCAAATTGAAGCTCCGATGAGGTATCACTACACACCTATCAGGAAGGATAGAATTAAAAAATTTAAAAGAACAAAATAATAATAAACACCGAATGCTGGTGAGGATGTGGAGAAACTAGATCCCCTGTACCATACATTGCTGATGGGGATGTAAAATGATACACTCTGGAAAGCATTTGGCAGTTTCTTCTACAACTAAACATGCAATTATGATATGACCCAGCAATGGCACTCTTGGGTATTCATCTCAGAAAAGTGGAAACTTATGTTCACACAAAACCCTGTACACAAATGTTCATAGCAGCTTTATTCATAATAGCCAAATACTGGGAGCCAACTGAATATCCTTCAGTAGGTGAATTGCTAAACAATCTGTGATATAGCCACACCATGGAATAATACTTAGCAATACAAAAGAATGATTGTGATATACAATTACTTGGATAAATCTTTGAATCTTTGAGGAATTATCCTGAGTGAAAAAAGCCAAGCCCAATCAATATAATACATACTGCATGATTCCATTCATATAACATTTTTAATGTGTTTTAAATTGAAATATAGTTTATTTACAGTATTTTTGGTTTCAGATGAACAACTTAGTGATTCACCCATTATATACATTATAAATGTTCACCATGATAAGTGTAGTTACCATCTGTCACTATACAAAGATATTACAATATTATGAGCTCCAATCCCTACACTGGTCTATGATCCCTGTGCCTAAATTGTTTTATAATTTTCAGTTTGTACCTCTTATCCCCTTCACCTATTTCACCCATCCTCCCAACCCTTACGGCAACCAACCATCCATCCTCTGTGTTTGTGTGTTTTTATTTTGCTTATTTGTCTTGTTTTTCAGATTCCACAGATAAGTGAAACTATATGTATTCTTCTTTCTCTAACTGACTTATTCCACTTAGCATAATACCCTCTAGGTCCATCTGTTGTTGAAGATGGAAACATTTCTTTCTTTTTTATGGCTGAATAATATTACATTGTATATATGTTCCACATCTTCTTGACCCATTCATCTATTGATGGGCACCTCGGCTGTTTCCGTATCTTGGCTATTGTAAGTAATGCTGCAGTGAACATAGTGGTTGTATCAATGTGCATTCCCTCTAACAGGATCAGAGGGGTCCCTTCGTCTACATTCTCGGCAACACTTGTTATTTCTTGTCTTGTTGATACTAGCCATTCTGACTGGTGTGAGGTGATCTCTCACTGGAGTTTTGATTTGCACTTCTCTGATGATTAGTGATGTGGAGCATCTTCTCATGTGTCTGTTGTCCATCTGTATGTCTTCTTTGGGAAAATGTCTATTCAGGTCCTCTGCCCAATTTTTAATCAGATTATTTGTGTTTTTGGTGTTGAGTTGTATGGGTTCTTTTTATATTTTGGATACTAGTCCCTTATCAAATATATTGTTTGCAAATATATTCTCCCATATGGTA